GGGGGGGGAGAACTAGCTGTAGATCGGAAGGGGGGGGGGGGGACTTCAACCCCAGTGTAAAAAAAAAATAAAAAATACTGCAATTGTCTCTTTGCTCAGACTTGAAACCTGAAGCTTGCATTACCTGTGCAGCGATATGTGGGGACACATTGTTGGAGTGTTTTAAAGGTTTTCTGTTACAACATTAAAGGCTGTCCAGATAGTTATCATCGAAAGAACACAAACCAATTTTCTTCATACGGGATATCACATAGTAAAATATACTACTGTGATTACCTCTAAACTGCTGACTAATTTCATCGAGCATAAATTGAAAAAGAACAAAGAACCCTCGAGCAGCCCCCTCGTCTCAGCATCCATGTCCTCCATCACCTAAATGGTCCTTGATGAGGTTAAGCACAACAGTAGCCCCTGTTACACATATTCTGCTGTGGGGAGCCATTATTCCGGAGGCCTGCTTGGTTTTGATTAAGTCAGGTCTTTATTATGCCGTCTCTGCACCCCGTGTAATGAGTCTGGCGGAGGGATGATAAAGCTTTGATAAAACATCCAAAATAGCCGTTATGACTTCTCAAGCTGTCTAAAATGAATTACAAAAAAGGCGTTGGTGAATGCTGAGTCTAACTCTCAGTGGCAGGATGTTGTTTGTTTACCGTTGGGGAACGGAGGAGACAGAGATACGAGCGCATCTTTTTTGGCCCCTCCTGCAAATACCAACCCCCACTCCGAACAGACACGCACTTCATCACCGCTTGCATTGGCATCTTTACGCCACAGTCATCACTCACCTTCCTCAACACTGATTGCTCTATTATGACATATCATTACCTCGGCGACTAATGAGTCACCTCGGAATAGGTGAGTTTATCGATACTGAGCGGCGCCGTCACAGGCGGACCTTTCGCCCGTGAATACAGAATGACTCGTGATGGATCTCTTGGTTTTAGGATGTTGATTTTTGAAGTGACTCATCACTTTCCGCATGACCTTTAATTGAGCAAAGCGATAGTCAATTCATCTTTGCAGGAAAAATGGCATCAAAGCTGAATTGTGAAGTCCTAAGAGGGGCTGTATTGCCTGCTACTGATTCGTTTGGGCCGGGCCAGATTAAAGTGAAAGGCAAGGGAATGCTGATTAATGTTGGAGTCACTTCAAAACTCACCTTGATTAATTCCAAGGAAGTCGCTATTCGTGTGCCGAGCTATTTTAGCCAAACAAAATTGTTGATTCCTGAAGCTCTTAACCAGGCGCACAGCAATTGCATATGCAAACATTGTTTTAGACCGACTTATTTACAGAGGGCATCAACAAATGAATGACAATGTGCGGCCACACTTTGGGCAAAAACTCACTGCTTCAGGCAGGGGGCTGTGCAGGTCGCGAGGAGTTGGAGCCGGTCCAGAAGCTTCAAGGCACTTGGACTCGGAGATGAACAGCCACCTCTTCCCCCCCTCCCAGCGTGCAGACTCCATTCACCAGCAGGCCCGGTAACACCTGTTCCTGCTGAGGTATCAGGGATGACATTTTAACATCTGCTCCCACAATTCGTTAATCCGCGCACACTTTAACATTACAGATATGTTGACCTCACTTTTGAAGACAAAACTTGAGACGCTCATTAATTAAGTGCTACTATCCTAATAAAGTAGAACAACTCTAGTCATAGCACCGCCTTCTTTTGTGTGACTCGGTTTATTGGTTGCATGACTCATGCGCCTATTGTCCAATAATTGTTGGCGGCGAAGACAACATATTCCACATGTCTGGGCTTATGACCTTCTATAACTTTTTAAAGCTTATAGGAATCTGAAGTTTGTTTACTTCTGCAAATAAAAAAAAACATGAAAGTTATCAGCCATGAATAAAAAGTGATGAATAACACATGTCTCATTTGTCATAATAAAAAGAAGGTGTGACAGAGTTGCGTCACGGAAACAGAAACCCAAAAGAGAAATTCAAAAGATGTGTTCACAACTGTTGAATTAAACTGTTAAAATGAAAGAAAAACAGATCAGATAAATTTTGATTGATGACTTTACCCCCTGCAGTAGTTAAAGCACACGTAAAGGCCATTAAAGTAAGGCAAGGAAGATAAAACCCTCATGGAAAGAGACAGAAACTCATCTAGCAATATGCACCTCTCATGACATTCCTTTTGACAATTACTTATGTAATACAAGTGCTTGCCAGCTGGTGGTGGGAAGCAATTTGACAGTTTTATCACAACTTTGACAAAAGTAATTTACTTGGCTCGGTTCTGTTGTGCTTCTGTGGGAAATAAATCATCAAAATAAAAATAAATAAATGGCACCCCCACCAGGATTTTGACAGTTCAATGTCTTCCAACCCTGGCACAAATGGTGGAAGTCTGAACCTATAGCGTCGTAAAAGTGTGAGTTACCAGGGCTGTGTGCAGTGATTCATCATCCGTCTGGGGGACACTTTGGTGGTCCATTGCTGCTCATAGGACAGCTGGGACCACATCCAGACAGCTGTTTAAAGCTTAGCTTCACAGAAACTGTGATTCGTTTTAAAGAAACTGGATTTAGAATGGCTTTAGAGTTTATTCTTCACATTTCTCCGGCTTTACACATGGTTGTTCGACACCACATAAAGTTAGGATCAGTGTGTATTCCAGTACAGTATACTGAGGAGTTATTATCATGTTCTTACAGTACAGTATTTTGACAAATTCAGCAAGATTTCACTCAAAAAAAAAGGAGCTGACGCGTGGTTTATGCTTGCCATCCCAAAAAATGTGATAATGTAGAACAGTTTGAAGGTTTTGTGTGGTTCTATGTTTGGATAGTTTTGCAAGCGAAATATAAACCAAAAGCAGAATCAATGCACATTTGTGAAATAATGCAATTCAACTATTTAACAGGAAAGGATTGCGAGGCGAGAATCGTTTCCACCAATGGCTGAGAGCTTGGACATGTGATTCACGTGGACGGCCTTCGATATATAAACTATAGCCAATGAGGAAAAAGTCTTCCTGAAAATCTGGCAACCACCTCTCAATGAACGGTCGACAAGCAAACAGAATTGAACTGACCCGTATACCTCATGTGCTTGACACCATTTGATATACGGGTCTATTAATGGTGTAATATTTGGGATCACTGCTGTAGCCAATGATAGTTTTTGCTTCGTCTTGCTTTCAGATTTGTTTTTATCAGATTTTCTGAATTGTGTTTATCATCTATAACTATGTAATCTTTTTGTTTGCTGCTTGTTCTACTGTCGTTGTGTGTATGTATACAATATTTTCAACGCTTGGGCTTTGTTTTACCTGGACACTATACTTTAATCGTGCCTCTATAATTAACAATGTTGTCATTGTGATGTACACACTGTCCTGAAATTAGTCATACAAATAGTAATTTTGTGTAATCAAATTCACATGGCTGCATTAGTAGGGAATGTATTTCCACTGGGCATGGTGACAGAATTGGTGACAGTTTTAAAACATGTATTTAATTTGACATGAAAGTTGTTTTATAGTTATTATAACCAAATGAGCTTCAGTGTGTTTTGTGTTATTGATGTAGGAAAACACATAATCTGATGCTCCCATAATTATCTCGGGTGCTATCAGCCTTAATTCTCAAAGGAGTGCTAAATCTTTGCACACTATCATAGATCAGGGTTGCAGTCTGCATACTCATTTCAGTGGGAATCAGTCATCCGCCGATTGAAGACGAACCATAGAGAGAACATGAGCATTTAAAAGCCACACGGTATTACAGATCTACGCTGAGCTTACTCCATTAGTGGTAAAATATATTCACTGGAGGCTATGGAGCAGAATATGTTGGTGAGGAGGAGGAGGGCTTTATTGGCTTGCTGGTGTACCTGACAGAATTTCAATGGTTGTTTGATGGTATTAATGCACCATTTAAATGCAGACCCTGAAGTTGAGGGGAGGGGAGGAAACCCCTGCGATGAGAGTACGCATGGGATCTGAAAGTCAGATGTCAGAGGAGTCAGTGGAGGGGAGGAATTCTCTCAAAATGCAGAAACTACAGGAGTGGAATATCAAATGTTCAAATCTTTTTCAGGGATTTTGGAGTGCGAGTCAAAAAAAAAAAAAAAATAGGGAGCTCTTCTCTTTCAATAGCACCAAAGTACAACCACCCACTTCAAAAGAAAGGGCCCTTCCAAGCATATGACTCGAGCATTTATGCCTGCAAATTAAGTGAATGGTGAACAGATGTGCTGCACACATGAGATGAAACTACCACAGTGGTCATTATTCTCTATACAATTGCAGAGGACACAACAGGGGGACAGAAGGATCTATCTTTCCAGGCCCACAATTCAAACTACTTACCATCATCTCGTCCGGAAAAATCCAAAGCAGAAAGGCCAGAAATCAACAGAGGCGCGTACAAGTCATCTAAGCCATCATTTCTGAAGGCAATCGTGATTATTGCCGACGCGACAGCATTTAATACAGAGTTGCAAATTTAATCGAAACAAACTACTTTCAACATCAAACATCTCTTCTTACTTTAAGGAAAACACTGGCTGGAACTTGAAGGAAATGAAATGTGTCTGATGAGTCATTGCTCGGGGAAATCAATTCATTTAGTCATACAGAGGTGCTAAGTTATTTATTGCCTGTCAGCATGAGGCGCTGGTTCATAATGTCTTGCTGCACAAAGAACAGAGACGCTAGAGGGAATTTGAAGAGAATTATTTTATTTATGCAAACAGGATGTGTTCTTAAAAAAAACACATTTTTCAATACATTTTTTTCGTCTTTGCTTTGTTTTCACAACTTGTGCTTCCAGCAGCTTATACCTGCGGCTACTAAGAACAAAGCACGAATATTAAGAGAAATTCACTCCAAATCTCAAAATACTGAATGAAAGAAAGCATGAAAGCACAAAAAAAAAGAAATTTGTAAATATCACAATAGCAGCAATGTGCACCAAAACAAACGGTCGGGAGGGAAGTGGTCGGTTCATTTTGCCTTAGCAACAGCAAAGACAGTGAACCTTTCCTATCGAGGCTCAAGGCCGCAATGCTCACTGCACACAAGAAAACCAAACTGTTGGATTAATACAAATCAGAAAGACAGCCTTCATCATTGAATCTTACCACCGTTTCCGAAAAAAAGAATTAAAAGTGTGGCGTCGTGTTGTAATTCAACGGTGGTTATCTTTAAAAGGTCTCACAGCTCGGTCAGATCATGTAGAGGAGAGCCCGACGAGCCGAGTAGCAACATCCTACAGCCTCCGCTGTCATCTGTCAGCATCCAGATGTGCTTTATTTACATGTACAGCTGTGCTTGGAGCAGACTGCTAAAGGATACTGCAGCTGTGTGTATTTGTAGACCCGAATGTTTGCGTGTACATGCTATCATGTAAGCATGTTGGCACGTCAAGCGTGCACGTCGCTCGGCTTCAAGTACAGCAAACATCCACGCAGCGGGAGAAAAGAAAAGTTTGAGAGTTGAAACCACCCTAAGATAATAATAATATTAGAGGATCGCAAACGAGGCTTGGTCGATATTCAACAGATGAAGTAGTGAGCGCAGAAACGTTTTGCACAACCTTGCTTTTGACTTTCATCACAGCACCGTTCACGGAAGCGTCAGACCTCAATGTTTGAACATGGGTCACGCGGTTCGTTTGAAATCAAAAAGTACAAAACAGTATCATCTCACCTCCATCAATCTGCTTTTTTTTAGGCTACTCATTTTGGTGCCTGCTTAAAAAGCCATTTGTCTGCTCGTACCAAATCACAATTGGCCTTCCAATAGCAGTAACATGGCACAGATACAAACTCGCCAATTATAGACACTATGAGCACTTTAGAATTGTTGTAAGTGGACATTTTTACTCTTCAAATAATCAATGAGTACAAAGATACCTGCACATACAAGAATGGAGACGAATTGAACACACCCCACCCTCATTCCTCCAGTGAAATAACCCTTTTAAATGCAAATACCCAGGAGGCAGTTGGCTTCTTATTGTACGTTTCATTGTCTCCTTTCGGGGTAGTGGGGTACAGAGCCGTTTTGCTCTGCATCTGCATGTAATTGCACAGAGAGTCGTACAGTTTATACCACAACAAAGCAGCTTCAGAATAAATTACAGCAAAGATGCTACATTTAGCGGGGAGGATGCTATTAATTCCTGCCGCCACGCAGACGAATGGAACGCAAAACATTTTAAAAGTATCTCTGGCAGGTTCTTTAAGCTGATGTTTAGGTGTGGTCAGCTGGTTCTAATTCTCGTTGAGTCATTTCCTTTTTGGGAGTTATGGGAACTATTTCCTGTTGTCTTTGCCTCATCTGTTGTTAGAAACCAACCTCAACATTTAGAAGATGCAAATATGAAAGAGAGAGGCAGTGCATGCTCTTGCTATGAATACTTCAGCCTGACAAGTCAAGCAGGTGTACAGAGAAGAAACACTGCAGGTGTGTCTTTGTACTGTAAACGACAGCATGACACCGCTGCCCCCTACTTTGGCTGGCAAGGCAAAGCCAACAAACATAACATTTCTGATGCTCTCACAACATTGAACTAATGTTACCGTAACAGTGTCACTGATTAACATCGTAACTAAAAAGACTTTTATGCTGTATTTCCCTTTTGACTGTAATGGGAGCAGCTAAATCATCTCTTGCTCTCCTTCTTGCACGTTGGACTTGAACGCGCCACGGCAGGTAAACACTGCCATCTAGTGACCAGAGAGAAGAATACATATGGAAACACCAACGACTTAATCATCCCAGAAGACGTTTATTAAGTTGCTGTAGGACACAGCTTGAGGTGTTACGTTTTCATTAAATAATCTGCAACACCATTCCAATATGGTGTAAACATGGTTTGAAAAGTATATTTAGAACAATAAATCAGGGGCTTAAAAGAGAAAATCAATCGTATGTTGAAAAAACAACAAACAAGGCACGCTACACATTCTTTGCAACACAAGGCTTTTTCCCATCACTTGCTTTCATCAGGGCCTTGATGGCCCTCGCCCTCATTTCCAACTCCAGGAGCTCCAGCTGCTGAATTGACGGCTGACACGCTGCAGGTGCGCGACTTGAAACGGGTTCGCCTTGAACCGGCAAACTAACGTCTGCGGCCTGCGGAGGTACGCTCGGTTCTTTAGCTTCCTCTTTGCTTGAAGAGGACGAAATGGCTAAAATCTCACTGACGCTTTTGTCTATGTCGCTCAGGATGTCTTTCTTTGCCTCCGTTGGTTGGGAGCCTGCGGGGGGCTCAGGATTGATCGGGCCCGGGTTCACAACTGGGTCGGCTCCTTGCTCCTTGCTGCTGTCCGCTACTTCCACTGCCCCGTCCACAGCTTTAACAGTCGGCTCCTCTTTGGGTCCCTCTATGTCACTATCGTAAGTGTCTGCGTTTATGCTGAGGACGTCGCTCTCCTCGCCGGAACCGACGCCCTCTGGAAAGAACATCAAACCAAGATCTCACATGTAAAATGGTCCTTTTTGTAGCTTTGATTCTGTCTTTGAAGTTTTAAGTTGAGTGCCTGGGGGATTATCTTTCGGCGCGTTACATATTAATTACCTGGCTTAGGGTCCTCCGCTTTTGCAGTTTCTTTTAGGCAAGATGTAGAGTCCACATTATTGTCTTGCCTTGATGGGTTAAAAAAAAAAAAAAAGGGAAACAAACACAAAAGTATGAGGAAAGCATAAAACACACACTACTTTGATTCAGAAACTGTGCCCAGAATAAGTTAGCAAACTGTTCACTCACTGGCTTTCCAAGGTCTCTTCTGTTGTTTCCTCGTTACTCCCAGATGTCAGTTCTTCCCCTATAAACAAGAGCTTTAAGTGGACGATTTGTTTGCAATCTTAGGACTGTGCAAAAAGATTTTTCTTTCCAGAAAGCATGCATCTGTGAAACATTTTCCAAACGGGCCTCAAGTCTTACCTGCTAAGATCTGCGTAAGATTGTTCTCCGAGATCAGCTCCAGTTGATCCCAGCACATCTTTTGGATTTCCTCTAAACTACAGTCCTGTGAACGATAATGCGTTTAATAGTCTCTTTTATGATGGGTTGCTTTAATAGCCTACCAAGCAAACAGCGGAAGCCTTCGGCTATTACGTCTCTATCTGTATTAGATATACATTATCACTGTAAATCAAGACATGAATACGCTTTCTAGAGTTGGCACTAACGTAGGTAAGTTATCAACTTAACTTTGCCATTTTACGATACAGCTTTATAGCTAATTTATAGCTATAGATACAATCTTACCAGCAACTGAACACAGTAACATAGATCAATAGTTAACAGCAGTAACTGTCTAACTAGCGATTTATAAAGTGATCTGGAAAACTAAAATGTGGATACGGTGACTTTCAATCAGTTACAGTGAAATAAAATATAATACTAAATATATGCCTCCAAAAAGATGGAACAAACCTTTTCATGAAATGATCACTACTGCTCAATGTGTTGTTGCTTTTTCAGCCAACAGTCCAAAATGTGGCCATAAATGTTGAAAGACAACACTTGGCAAAGCACAGAATGACGTCCATAAAGCCACAAACTAATGCCAGTCAAAATGCAGCGTGGCGGCGAAAGACTTTTTTTTTTTTAAGGTTTGTGGTGAACAGACATCTTGAAAGACAACATATAAGGAAGTCCAAAGCTACATTGAAACTGATGAGAAATTAGGGCTAATGCATCAGGCTGGTTATGGTAAGCCTCTGTTCTCTCGTCCACAAATGTTCCTTGATCATTAGTCATTAGATCATTTAGAATTTACATTGTCATAAGACAAACAGGATGTCTTATAGAAATGAGACATACTGTTTGTCTTATTTCATGAGTTTACCATGACATAACATGGTGTTTACACGATAACACAATCACCTTGAGTTCGTCGGGCAGCATTTTCCGGAGCTTCTTCTCCCCCAGCACATGGAGACACTGCTCCAGCATCTCACGCTTGTCGGCGACGTAAGCAGTGATCGGCTTGAACGGCAGGCTGAGGTCCAGTCCGCCATCCTCGATGTCACTGCCAATCCTGTCCAGCTCTGCGTCAGCGAGTTCATCCTTGGAGTCCTGCTTTAGCAAAATAAACAACGTGTTTACTTCAAAAAGTGTGGAAGGTTGATGAATGACATCAAACAGTGTGACCACTTCGACTTCTTTGTGGTCATTATATTGTGAAAGAGAGTTCCTGTAGACGGGTACGACTAGCTAAATTTAATTCAGTGACACACACATAGATACAACATAATCCTTTCGTGTTGGAGTGATGTCGCGGCTGTAGTTTGTGAGGTCACACTGATGTGTTTATGACATTTTGTCCTTGTATGAATGTTTGTCAGTTTAATCTACGTACATTGTTATATCAATCACCTGAATGTGATGTGAAATATGTAATCCTGGGGCAAACCTCCATTTTTTCTGCTTAGTATATTGTTTCCATAAATGGGACACAGCTTGTTCCTAAGAAAACAAACACCACCTCATATTTAAAAGATATCTGTAGCAAAGTCTGATTAATTCCTGCTCCGTGTTTGGACTAGCCATGCTCTATTTGTAAACAGGCTGGCAAAGCCAAAAGTATAACAACATTGTATATTAATTTAAACAACTAAACAAACCCATAGGCTAACAAAACAGCAAGCTAGCTAGCAGTATTTACTGCCCTGACAGTATCGAAACCAGTCGTATGGTTAGGAAAACCCATTTTTCGTTTTGGGGTTAAATTAGTCTCAAAATCAAACAAACATGAACCGCTATTACATTAAAATACAATTGAAACATGGATGTTATTATCTGACGAATGAAGAGAAACACTGCTACAATATTGCTTTAGCAAAACGTTGGGACGTTTGTGTTACAATGTTTCAAATTAGCGGATGAACATCAACAAACGTTCAAGGATTTAAAAGCTACTGTTGCCGTCATTATTTGAGGAAATGTATCCGTATATTTTGGGTCAACGGAATGTGTTAAGGTTGCTTTGAATGTTTAAACAAAACATGACATTAGCATGAAACTAGCGTTAGCTTGAACATCGTACCTCTAAGTTGGATTCTGCAGCTCTGCGTTTATTGCTCTCGTGTCGTTCGTCAGACTGCAAGTGTTTCCGTTTCTTTTCAGTGCTACTTGATTTCTTTTTGAGCATTTTCGAGGTAAATCCACCGGCCCCTTCTGCAGAAAGCTGTTTACTCGCGAGCTCACTTGCCGAAGTTGAGTGGTTGAATGTCGCGGGGTTGTGTCATCAGCAAGCGACGACATCATATTTTGGTGTCGGTGAAAAAGCAGCCATTGTTTTTAGCTACCGCCACCTACTGGACTGGGACGGTGCTGCATTTCTGTAATTTCTCAATTTACCAAGAAAAACGGAAAATCCTTACATATATATTCGCTGCAACTTCTGTCATGTTAAGTTATGTAATTAATCAACATGTTTCTTTATTATCCAACAGGTTAGTTAGTTTTTAATCTACTGTAGACAAATTCAGAATTGTTTCAAAACGTGGATAAAGAAGAAAATGTACTGCATTCACCACCAGATTTATTGCATGAGCTTGGCAGTGCTAGACTATAACCATATGTCCATACGCCCAATTAGTGACTGGAGCTTTAAGTTCCCATATTCTAGCTAACAAGTCTCTTTCTGGCCATCACAACAACAAAGACGGTCAGTCTGATGCTGTATTATACTGTCTGCATCTGTGAGTGAGCCTTGATGTGCCGTTGCTGTGACCTATCAAGCTGTTGATGGAAGTGCAAATACATTCAAACTGTATCCCCATCAACATTTTACACTTCAAAGCTTTGCTCGGATTACTCGTGACAGTCAATCACAAGTCCTCTTCCTGTTTTTCACACGGTCTTGCCATCTCGCAGTTTCCATCTGCCTCACCATTTCATCGGATTCATTACTGCAAACAACCTCCATACCCACTGCCGCTGCTCATTTACATCGCTCAGGTTTTCACATTTCAAATCAGACAGCACTATTCATAACGGTAAATGCATGTTTCTTTCAAAGGAATTTACAAAGGACTTTGTAGTCACATAATAATGACACATACGTAACAAATGTGTGCAGAACAGAGAGGCATATGAAAATGTACTGCCGATGGCTATAGTGCATTATGCATGACCCATAGAAAATATAAAACTGTGACTCTAAACATAAACAGTGAAATTGTTATTTTACAAAGGTAAAATGTGTCGCAGAGATGTTTTTTTCTGAGGATATTTACATTTGGTATCAAAAGATACTTCTCAGAGATATAATCACATTGTCTGACATCACAAAACACTGCACTTCAGACTGAATTCGAAGGATAGACATCCTCAGACAGGTACATATTTTTATATCATAATATAACATTCATAAATGATATAAACAACAACACAGATAAATCCGTATATCCCCCTAAACAATCTATTAACTTTACTTAAAGAACAAAAATATCTCAGACTTACATTACATTTCACTAATAAACAACTCTCGTCAGTACGTCATCCTTATTGCCACCAAGGTGGCCATGCATTTTTCTTTCGCTGGACCGAGACACTGGTTTCAAGGTGGTGACGACACAAGCATGTTGTAAATCACTCTAATTGGCTTACCCGCCTCTGCCTAAAAGGAGGAGGGAGCCAACGCAATGGCTGCCCGGGCTCCATGGCGACAGCTGTCTCCACATAATGCAGGTTGTTATCCTGATGCCATCCGCCAAATTATGCAGTGGATATGGTAGGAGGTGAGCATCGATCACAATCACAGTCAAAATGTATTTCCTTTGCAAACATCTGCTCCCATGTGTCTGGATATCGCCTCGTTAAAAGGGCAATGATGGAGCAGGCACTGCTGTAGGGGACATTGCATTTGAGAGCCGTGAAAAGGACCCGAAAAACAACCACAGTCTGTACATGAGTGTGTACATTCGGAGAAGTATAGCTAAACCAATTTTAACATTACGTAGCAGAGCTTTGTGATAGGCACTTCTGTTCAGCACATTTTTGCATTCTTAAACTAGAGGCTGCTTGTATATAAATAGTATTTTATGATTCTCACGTCTTCAATAGATTGTCTGTTGAATACGCATCAAGGCTCTCTTGTCTGATGAGGAAGTGTGGCTAATCAAGGGATGTGCAGCAGTGAGTTCAATGGTTTTGCTGTGTTTTTCTCTCATTTGATTTAGTCGAGATGCAAAAGGCAAGTAAAATGATGAATCAAGACGCAACAATTGGAATTACTTAAAGTGAGATTAAAAAGCGAGAGGAGCTCACACCAAAGAAAACAGACGAAGAAAAAACAATAAGAACAGAAGTGGATAAGAGACTAAATGAAAAGAAACTCAACGTAGGAGAAAATTGTTAAAAAAACCCCGAAAGAAATGATTTGCCAACATTCCTCCGTTTGGAATCCACACTTTATATCTAAATATATATCGTATTGTGTGCATAATCATTACGCAATAAGACATCTTCAAGACAATTTTCATAGAAAATCTTTGTTAATTTAACTTGGAGCACAGAAATCAACCACGTTCGAGTGCTCATTTACATCCACACTCATCACAATTACTCATTTCAGCACTTCTGAACACCTTCCTTGAAGCCATATGTGTGAACAGACAACTCTCAAATCAACACCCGCCCTTGACAAATCAACACGTATTGACAGTGGGATTGTTTGGAGTGGAGTAACAACTTCTCTGCCAACTGTGAGTGGAGCTGTACACTTTAACTGTGAAGGCCAAGTGGCAATTCAAAATTGTAATTAAAGATATTAATTGGGATTGTGGGCACGATATTTGATGATTCAAAACGTATCCATCAAATGATGCTTACCGCTTATTTCAATGGCACCCGATTGCTGAGACAACATGGGAATTTCTCATGTGGTGTATTTCGCTGTCTTTCAAAGCAGGCTATTAATAGTGATCCAGTAGTACAGCAGTACAGCTGGAGAGGTCGATTGACCAACCTAGCACACGCGCTTCCACTCAAAGTGGCGTACAAATCTAACCAAGGCCACGTCTGAGCCTACTTAACAGAATCTCATGTCTAGTCCTCTTGAGTATAAGTCTCTTGAGAGACCACCGGCATTGAGATGCCTTAATATGGTGACACTGGTCCAAAGTCGCAGCTATACAGATAATGGCCCATCACTAAAGGGTTTGGAGATGAGTCTTCCAGAAATCTCCTCCTGTGGCTGAAGAGTCCTCGCAGCTCCACAGCAAAAGTGAACAAATGCAGAAGGTTTTAATTTAACCCATTTTAATGGCTGTCCAGTGTCTCTAACTATGCTTTCAGTAAGTATCCTCAACTGTCATCCCCCAAATAACAGTTTGCTTTATAGGTTTCAATTACCCTTACACAGCTTTGTGCAGCAGGCTGACAGTTGTCACCAATTATATTTAACTTCAGTGTCAGAAGGTGACATTTTGTCTTTAAAAACTACTCTTCTCCACTTTTAAGAAGTGCTTCTTTTGAAATAACTAATATATCTACCACTGACTTGCCTTATTTAAAGTTCAGTTAGTGGCTATTGCCGACAAAACGCTTAAGGATTGTAACTTTACGAACATCAGTTGATAAAAAACGATCTTCTCTAAACATGTAAACATGACAGTTTCACACGGTCCTCAACCTTCATGGACGAGAAGTCCTCTCAGTGCTATTTAAAGTGTGAAAATGTACATTTATTTGTTTTTTGTTGTACATTATTAACTCACTTTTGTCAAGACCTCACAACGTAATTTCTTTCATTCATTTATTCGCTGGTGGACGGCGAAGTCGAAGTGTCTTGAACTACTTCAGATGTACACTCTTCATCTACTTTAACTGCAATCTTGGAAACTTCTCCTGAATGTTCTTTGAGGCAGTAACGTCTCAAAGTGTGAATCACGAAGATCCCTCGAAGCTCCCACTTGTTTGTCTTATTCCAACAAGGCTGTACACTTGGTGCACTTTAACATATCTAATTCAAACCTCAGTGGGCTCATGAATATTTTAAAGACGCCTCTGCTATAGTGTACGCTGACTAGTAGGAGCCAGGAGGCAACAATGTCAGAGGTTTGTAAGCGTTTCTCTTTTCCTGTTTTGCCTCTGAATCCCACCTGATTCAAACAACCTTCACTCAACAATGACCGCTGTTCCTGATGAGCTTCTCCTACAAATCAGCACAAGGTAGTTAATAGATTTTTAATACACATCTCTGCCTTTCATTACTCAAGGCAACAACTGTGTACACACTGCCTTGTTTTCTTTTGCAGTCCTCTAACAAGCTGCCTAGCAGCACCGGGGAGAATAGCTGCTGCTTAAGTGAGAGCAATTGATGTTTAAGTTAACAACATGCCGAATGAGGGAAGCAGGAGAGCTGTTGCATTGTGATCCTGAGCCAGAAAGAGAGTGATTGGTTCGTAGTGCCATTATTCAGTGTTTTTATGTGGTGCTATCGCTTGTCTTAAAGGAGAAAACTAAAAGCTGTTGAATGCGAATGTTTAACCAGTATTTTACTCTTCCTCCTTTATTGTTCAGGATTACATAGCGGGGTTACTTTCCAACCATTTCATCTTTTTAATGCAACACAGTGAAAATACAGTACGTCATCCCTGTAAATGCAAGCAAACACAGGTGTCACAGCAGCATTCTACAAGTTCTTTTGGCGTCATTGGTGTAGATAGTGAAAATAACGTAATAATATGAACATGAATATTTCCCATTTCAATTTAAGAGGTATTGGCAACGTCAACCAGAGCTATCAATATTGCCTCACCTCCCTAAAATGTTACAATGTTGGAGCCCCAAACTAAAACTTTATGTATTCTCTTTATATTTTGTGGCGGAGTCTGCCATTCCTGCACTGAATTGCAATTGTATGCAGGACAGGTTCACAGACGATGGTGTATAATGTAATCCAGTGATGCTCATTTTATATTGGTTTTGCAGTTGCACATAGTATTGACTGATTACTGACAGTATATGTGAGTTTGTTTGTCGAACCGAATTGTAACTTGAAAGCCAAGAATGAACTGTTAAGCTCAACTTTATATTAACATGGATTAGAAGTGCTCAGGTTTACACATTTTAAACGTCCATGGAAACTGAGCAAAGTCGATGTGACGTCCTGTCAATGCTAAATACTGAATCACATTTTGGTTTTGAGTTTCATGTTGTCCTTATTTTTGTCTTGCTTACCGCACAGAAAATATCACGAGTTGTAAACAGTAAC